CATAGGCATTCTGTTGGCGCATTCTTATAGCAACAAAAACAATTGTACCAACTTCTAAAGTCCTCTTGTGAACGGAAATGAGGTTTTTTTGGGGACGACCGATATAGATCCGCCACGCATATCCTTCCTTGAGCTACAGAGGTGACTCAAAGAACAGTAAACAGCCCCTGAAATGCTTACAAGAGCAATGACTGTTCAAGCTGACGTTCAATTCACATTCTAAACCCCCCACCCCCCACCCTCAAAAAAGGAATAGAAGCTTTCTTAGGCCTACGCGTATGCGATCCAGCTAAAAGGTAAGGAAACGCCTTTCCACACTGAAGATAATTCATCTCCACCTCATCCACCTATATTCAGAAATGAAAAAAGACTGTCAGCGACCCCTAGTGGAAATTTTTCCCTGAGAAAGGTAGCCCGCTCCGCAACAGCAAATGCCGTCATGCTCGCAATACTGCTCCATCATCTTTTCTTCTGGCGGTCTCTCGCACACGCTTGCAATGTCTCTTCGCCTCTCGCTTCCCAACATGCTGAATAGCAGTTGCTATAAATAGGGCCCATTTCGAAACGTTCTCGACCCTTTCTCTGCTTTTATCGTCTCAGTTGAGTCAACTCGCTCTTACAAATTCATATTTGGTACCCCCTCCCCCCTACCCAACAAAGTGCAATCGCTGCGTGTCTTCGAAGTGACTGTTCTCTGCTCGTCGTTATGAATGTCAGATTGCTACTATAGTCACGTGAGTCACGTGTGCCTTTTAAAAACTAGTTTTTACCGTACTCTTTTGTGTGTTTTCCTAACTGTTAGTATTACTCTCAGTGATAGCGATTTTTGCCTCCATCATGTCTGCTACCGTAAAGGGGAGACGGGCAAGAGAATCGTAAATTGCTGCTCCACGGCGATCGGCACGGCGTTTTCTTGACTCGTGTGAAAAGGTCGATTGGAGTACCGAACTTCATGTAGACCCCTTCACCATAAACAAACGTAACTATTTTCGGTTTCTGATTGCCTGTTGTCGCCATCCACTACCTGGAACCATCGTCATTTGCGAGCGCGACGTCGCACGCGACGCCCACCAGCACGGCGAATTACGATTCTCTTGTCACATACCCGCCGTAAAGGCAACAGGCAATGAACTGAAATCTTTCAGAGTCTCTTACCGAGCATCTCGTCCTTCTCCTTGTACACAGCATACATCCAGTCGCGCAGTTTCTCCTCGTCATCAAATGGCACCTGCAACACAGGTATTTGTATTGAAATTTTGACAGCTGTAATACGAGTTCTTCCTTTATGGGGGTAAATACTACAGTCCCACCTTGGTAGCACAGTTGGAATCGGCGCAGTCATTCGGTGGTGTTAAGGAACGCGGAATGAACTCACTCCCTCCGTTCTCCGGATGTTTTCCTCCTATTTCGACCGCTATTGGTACAAAGGGCAGCGAGCTCATTTCACCCCTCTCGACACCGCCCCGACTGGCTGCGATGAGATAAACTGTATTTACAGAGCTGTCGCAAGCACCTAACCACGCTGTCCATCTTCAGGGAGCTTCCCCAAACTAATTGCCTAGGTGTTTTGGATTTTTAAGTTGATACCATGGACGGCTGAGAAAAGGAATACTTTTGAAATAAAAAAAAACATAAACCAATCAACCTGATTCTACCCAGAATCAGAGACTACGAGGAAAACTTTGTATGCACATCTGGAGACTTTTCTAAGAATTTCAAGGCGGAGCTCATTCCTACTCAATTCTCTTTCACAGATTCCGATTCCCCCGATTTCCCCAATCGATAGGTATCTGATCACGAGAATTCCTGCCGAACGTCCACTGGGGCGGAATCAGACCAATCAATAAGTATGCTGTATGCTCTCCATTCGACG